GATGTGTTTAAGAATAGGGTGGATGAGCTACTTGAGGATATGGTTTAATGGGGATTAGGGATGGTTGGACTCGATGATCTCTAAGGTCTTTTCCAACCTAGAAATCTATGAATCTATGAATCTATGAGATTGATAACTTTAAGGTTATTTACTGTGGCTGCAAATTCAGCTGAGATGGAGTATGTGTGTTATTTTACCTAAGTACCTCTCATAATATTTCCTGAACGAACTATTAACATAAAGAACTGTCTCATCTGCAGCATGTGAAGCACGTTTTGTAAAGCTAGTAAATCAAAGCTAATCAAAACCAAACTGTCAATGTTCAAACACAATCACAAACAGAAACCAGGAAAAAAACGTGTAAAACTACCATGTCCATTATTATTTGTTAACAGGAAAAGACTGCATTTCAAAAGCAGCACAGTGAACTCTGAAGCTCATTTTTCCATCTATGGTTGTAAAAAACATTTCCAATTGTTAAAAGTCTTGCACAGTGTTGTCAGCCTAGAAATAATAATCAATTCACAACAGGCGTAACAAAAAAAACAACCCACCCACTCATAAAAACACAGCTGTCCATGTGCACTGAAATCAGCCCACATAAGAGACAGCTGACACAATTTATTTCTGCCCATGCTGGAAGAACCAAGTAAAGAAGCTGTTAAGAAGTGTTAACTTTTCCATACGGAGCTCAAACATCTGGACACCAGCATCCAAATTAAGCTTTTGATAAGGCAGACTAGCATTTCCACAGCATCCAAATGTCCATGACAGAAAAAATTCACAGGTAACCTGTATATCATAAGGCACTGGATTTTTTAAACGTGCTGATTTTCACAGCAAACATTAGAGCTCTGCTTGTAATAATTTGGAGGGTTGAGACTAGGTCATACATAAGTAGATCCATTTACTACACTGGAAAGAAAAATTGTTGAGTGCAAAGCATAGATGGAAAACTAAAACTTTTCTGCAGACTCAAAACTTGAAACAAAAAACATATTCACCTTTATTTGACCATGGTTTTGTGTAAAAACTTTTCCTGAAGCTAGAATACGTAGTTGTAGAGCCACGCTCAAAGATGGGATCATTTTCTTCTACAACACATGGACCTTTTGTTCTTAGAACTTCTACAGTTAAACTAGAAAAGCAAACACACAAAGAGACTTAATAGAAAACATCATTAACAAGACACATAGATGTTTATAAGCCACCTACTCAGATTTTTTTTGCTACAAGCCAGAGTTTGTACTGTGTAATCAGGCTTAAAAGTATACTAACGTGCATTTTAATAGGAGAATGCAGCAAGAAATCACTATCCTACTCAGCTTGTGCAAGTATATTTGCTCTTCTCTTTTTATAAGATATAGTACAAAGAGACAAAATTAAATATCTTCAAAAAAGAAGAAAGATTGTCTTTTTAACATAAGAAAATTATTTTGCAAAACCACTGGAGCCTCTCCATATCTCCATATACTTTTAGAATACTTTTAAATTCTTTTACCAGGAGTGCTTTACCCTTACACCTTGGCCTAAATCTCATGCTAAGAATAAATTTGACGAACTCCGCAATTTGATAATCTACTACTTTTAAAAAGCCATATTCGAAGCAAAGTTACTGAGAACACTGACAGCTGAATAAAACAGCAACATGCAAGATGCAAAGCAGAGGCAAATCATACTGGCAACTGAGTAACAGTAAACAGACACAAGTAACTGTGAGAACAAAGTTAACCAAATAGAAGATATTTGGAAGGTCGGCAAATATCCAGTATTCATTCACTGTAATAAAATACGACATCTTCCTCTCTGTCTTCTTCTCCAAAAATATTTCTCATAGAGCAAGTTTGCCGCTACTGAGATGCAGACAACTGCACAGTTTCCTAAGGTGGGATAGCTCAACTCTCAACACATAAATACGCCCACGTTTGTCCCCGTCCAAAGTAACTGTTCTCTACTCGCAAACTGAACAGCAAGGTAGCACACATTGTTCATCAGTCAGGTGCAGAAAGCGTTACCTTTCTTCATCCAGAATAATTGAGCCATCTTCTGCTACTTTCACACGAGGGACTAGAAGTGGACCGTCCTGACTCTCCTCCCCATTCTCTGCTTCTTCGTCTTCATCTTCCTCTTCATGATCTTCAGGGGTACTTTTCTCTTCCTGTCTACAATTTTAAGAGACCAAAAAGTCTCTTTGTTAGTGCTTTGAATTGCTGCTCTGTACGCCAGGTGTTCAAGAATTTAAAGAACCACCCAGCAATGCAACCTACCAGCAAGTTAGTCAGTACATAAACCAGAATTGCTTTTCATTCTATTATAAAATGGACAAATCCAAAACCATACTATTTAAAGCGGAATGCTCTTTAACCACCCTCCCCTTCCAAATTAAATTTTTGTTATAAATAAGGGCTGTGCACTGAGACAGACCTACAGTTAGTATAACCACAGAAACATGGGGTTTTTTCCAACATCAGAAACCTTTTTGACTATATGTATTTCTATGATCAAGACTTACTCTTTCATTTGACTCAGTGCAGAATTTTTTTCTGTTCGCTTTTCTTCTACCAATGAAGACCTAGAATTTTATAAAATGCTAGAGATGAACATTTATACAGACACATTTCTGCTTCATTCCACAAAACCTGGTTTTAGTGGATAATAGATAAAGAAACACCAAAGCTTTTTTTTCAATTATTTGTACCACATCTAGACTTGAGTCTAACTGAACAACCAAAACTGCCTAATGAATCCTGCTTTTTTTTTTTTGTAAAAGCAAGGACAAAAAACCAAATATTTCAAGCAGTAATCCATTGTAAGGGTACAAGGAATGTGAGAGCATCTAGTTCATTACCTGCTTAAGGACTACTCAGTGTAAAAGAAAAAACAACAAGGAAAGTGATAAATAAAACACTCAAGCACACAAACACTAACAAGCAGGTGATAACAGACAAGAACAGAGAATTCATCTGCTACTGCGCAGAATAATCAGACTTTGTCAGCTGTACTGATGTTTATGGGTTTTTTTTTTAGGTAGTTGCAGGAAAAAGGCCCTGCTGTGCCTGTGGTAGTCTGTCCAGCTAGCTGCATTACTGTTCCCTGTGTATGTGCAGCTCTGGGATGCTCACAAACAGTAGCAGCTACATCTATTCAGCTGGAATGGAGAGACCTTGTGGGTCTTGTAGTGCATTTTGCACTTCAGCACCTAGGAAGGAGGAACGTCTAGAAGACTCTGCTACCATTGCAATAATACTTCATCTGTGCTAATACTCCAGATTTAAGAATTCGCCTTTTCACAATAATTAAATTGATAGAAAAATAAAAATCATTTAATCTAAGGAGACAGAAAAAGAGTCATACTTACTTCATAGGATTGTTTTCTGGCAGATAGTATATCAGGTCTCTCATGGTCATTTTAGAACGATCTGGTGGAGAACGTCCTTCAATTACTGGAGGCCTGTGTTTCAACTGTTTCCATATAAGAATGAAAAAAAACCCTTCAATTCACTCTGAAAGTACTTTATATGTCACAAACAAATATTTTTCTTTGCTTATGAAGTAATCCATTTAGGGAGTTTGTTTCACATTCATCCCCCGCCCCCAACAACTAAAGTAAGTTTACCTTAAAAATTATCCCTTTGTCAGAAAGGATGCCACAGGCCCTGAAATGACTTAACCTCTCAGAGAAGTTCAACACTTGGCACAATTAAAAGTGAAAAGTTATTCAAAATTACAGAACTCGGTCAACAATCAAGCTGAAAAGATATGAGACACCCCAAATCCCAAGCTTCTTATAGCACATTTTTCCATTGTATTACCAGCTGTGAAACTTTTAAAATTAAAAATGTTGATTTCCAATGCAGGTCTCATGTCAAAAAAGGCTTGTGGGTCTAATCAAATGAAAAGACACACAATTTCTCGTGAAATCTGTATTATGAGGGAACACAGTGCTACTACTGTTTATAAACAGACAAAACCCCATACAGTGTTATGAGCTATCACAGGCTACTAGCAGTAAGTAGCTGCTCACCATCAAAAAACACTACTGCAAAAAGGTAATATATGCTAGGTGAGTCACACATCCTTGCCCTTCATAGGTCAGCACTGCTCAACACAGAAGCCTACCATTCGCTCTTTCTTCAGCTCTTCTTTAAGCATTTCTCTCAGCTTCCGAGCTTTGAGGATCCTTTCACGGTCAGAACATGCTCGTTTCTCTTTTTCGGGAACAGGTTTCACAGGCAGCTTTTCCTCCTGTGTTCCTGATCTTTCCTGTGTTGGTCTCTCCTTGAGTGGGGAAGGTAAATTCTTCTGCAAGGTATCATCATTTTTTTGAGCAGCTACACCTACAGTTTGCTCTTTGCTCACTGATTTTTTTAAGGGGGAAAACTGTGGCACTTGTGGCACAGGTGTTTTCTTTTCGGGCAGCATGGAAGACTTTGAAGAGCTTTCAACACTACTCTTTTCTGATGGAGAGGAATCTTTCTGAAGTGAAGCACTGCCATCAGGAGCCTGAGACGCTCGCCTCTGCGGTTTTGATGCAGAACCCTGAGCAGATGAAGGTCCAGCTCTGGGTTTGACAAGATTAGGCATGGTAGAGATCCGTTTTCTTCTCTGCGAAGGCATCTCGGCAGGTTTACTAGCTCCTGCAGCATCATTTGAGCTATCAGTCTTGTCATTGCTGGAAAATTCAAAAGGGCATTCTGAAATACTTTACGGACAGATTTGTAACTCTTACTTTAAAGATATGTTTAAGCAGCAGTCAGTACAAATATAGTGCTACAGAAAAATACAGTTGTATACAAGAAGCCACACTAGAATCAATCTGTAGCTGGTACTTACTTGTAAATTAATCAGCTATAGGAACCAGTATATTATTTTCTAATATTAATTATTATTAATTAATGTTACTGTTACAAGCTAGTTGATACATAACATTAAACTCACATGTTCCCTCCCCAACCTCCTCTTGTTTATCGGAAGGCTTTCTACTTTCAGCTGAGAATGACAAACATCATAATACAATAAAGCTTTATAAAAAAAATAACCCATAGAACATAGGTGACGTATTAAAAACATTTTAATAAAGCTATATGTAACAAGTAGTTTGATGATTTTTATTACAATCAATCCAAAAATTCCTCTTCTACATTTGCAAGCAGACGACATGTAAACTGTGAATTCAAAAAAAACCTTCAGCTGTCAAACTGGCTGCTGTTAATCTACCACGCATGCTTAACCCATCAAAAGTATCCCTTCTGAGGAAACAACTTTTGGCTTCCCTGGAAAGCTTTCTTATGTAAGTATTTTCTCCATCCCTCATGCAGAAATAATTTTCAAAGCACAAGCAAAATTCCAAAACATTATGATCTTCTTAAACCTGCAGAATCCTCCAGTGTTTGGCTCCTCGGCTGTTGCTCACAGTAAGACTGCGGTAGAACTAGTATTGAGTCATAAAGAGTTTTTTAAATTTTACATTGGAACTATGCCTTGCTTCTGTACAGAAGGACAACCACACCCATGGTTCACTTAGCCATCTTCAAAACCAGTCAGAAGCAAATGCCTTTGAATGAATATAAGAAAAGCATAAACATACAGTGAAACTTTTCCAAACCCTCTCTAGCTACCATCCGTGACTCAGGCAAATGCTGCAGATTATGTTTTTGTATTTAACAGCCTCTGTTAAATGGCTGAATCAATTTGTTCCATACTGTGAGTTCATATACATTTTTAGCACACAGAACATCCCTCAGCAAGGAGTTCAGCAACCTTACTACACGGTGCCTGTCCATGTGTTTTGAATGAGATCCTTGCAAGGCCCATTCAGTACTCTCTGGTTTTTGTACAAGAGACAGTGGAAAGTAATTCTTCACTCATCTTCTCCACATCACCTGTGTTTTGTGGAGTTTTTAATCAGAGCGCCACACCAGATTTCTAGACAGTTAAATACAGTTTAGCAGAAACCCATTCAGCATTTAGAAAGCAAAACAAAGTAACGTAACTGACACTACAGATACAGGTTTGAGCACCTGTGAAGGAATGCCTTAGGTTGGACGGATAAATGTGCAAGATATTTTCACACTTGCCTTTACTTTGCTTGCAGACCACAAACACATTGTGCTGTATGCCACCAATTACCCCACTCAGGAGATCAAATTGTGCCATCTTCCTCACATCCACTGTTCCTGAATCTTCAGAGACACCTAGGCAGCCAGTCTTCGAAATGCACCATCTAGAGCGACAGTTTCCCAATAAGCTAATACTGCCTTCCCTAGGCCTGCTCTCTCCTATTTGGTTGCTGTATGCCTTCCAAAGCAAGCAAAAGCTTTAACAATCAGCTATTCATTGGAATTTAAGGTGACCAAATGGGGGCAAGAAGGGAGCAGTTCTCAGCTATGCCTCTTCTATTTGCTCCCAGGACTAAAAGCTCCCCCTGAGAGTCTCCCAGCATTTTTACGTTCGATTCCACTTTCTCCCTCCAGCCGAGCTGTGGAAACCCACCACAGCACTCCAGTGGTCCACGTGTCTCTTCTTCTAAGCGCATCATTTTCCAAACCTGCACTTCTCCAGAGCTCTTTCCTAGCCACATCCCCCACATTTCACTGTGTCAGCAAACTGAAGAGGTTTGTACGCTACAGTCAGAGCGGTAGTATCCACCACAAACAGTCTTAAATTTTGTGTAAGTGCCCTACTTTTTCTTTAAAACAGCAGAATGTGGATTTGTATAGTTGGATATTTCTGCATTTATTGAGGAAAATATTTCATAAGCCTGTTACTTATACAGCAAAGGTCTATTTTCAAGCCACATGATTAGATTTCTCAGAATATGATCTCTTTCAGAACGGCATTGGCATCTAGTTTTGAAACTCAAAATTAGATTACACTGAAGCACTCATCAAATTACAAACACAAAAGTCTCTAATAAATCTGCTGAATCAGCAGCAGTACCACAGAATTGAAAAATAGGAACTATATCTTCATTTTTAAAAAAAGTACTGGATATTAAAAGATCCAGTAACCTGATCTCTGTAACACATAAATTTTATAAATAAAATTTGAAAGAAGAACATCCTTACAGCACAATGCAAAACAAGTTTAAGCATGAAAGATGTAAGATACAGGTTGAATAAAATCAGCACAGGTTTACCAAAGACACGCCACGCCAACTAGTTTGATACCTGAATTTCTAGTCACATGATAAAGAAGACTGTAAGAAGATCTTGCATTATGTCATAAGGGACAAGTTTCAGCCAAAAGAACACCGGTATTCATGCAAGATGCAAAACCAACTAGTTAAAAGAAGTGAGAATTTTGTTCTGAAGAGCAACTATCAGACTAGAGAAAGGTCCTGAAGAACTGGTCTGTACTGCTTTTCGCAGGCGCAGAGTTGATTTTCTTCACAGCAGCTCATATGGTGCTACATTTCAGATTTGTGACCAGAACAGCAGGGACAGCACACCCGTGTTTCAGTTGTTGCTGAGCAGTGCTTACACAGCATCCAGGCCTTTTCTCATGCTGCCCTGCCCAGCTGGGAGTGCGCAAGAAGCCGAGAGGGGACACACAGCCAGGGCAGCTGACCCCAACTGACCAAAGGGATATCCCATACACCTGGTAGTGTGCTCAGCAGTAAAAGCCGGGGTAAGAGGGAAGAAAAGAGGACATTCAGAGTGATGTCGTTTGACCACTACACGCACGAAGCCCTGCTTTCCTGGAGATGGCTAGCCTGCCAATGGGAAGTAGTGACTGAGTTCCCAATTTTGCTTCACTTGCATATACGGCTTTTGCTTTATCTATTAAACTATCTATATCTCAACCTCCGTGTTTTTGCACTTTTGCCCTTCCAATTCTCTGCCCATCCCATGGAGAGGGGAGTGAAGCCAGCCAGGCTTAAGCCAAAACAGGGAGGTCCTGAAGGACTGGTCCTCGGACCAACCTTACCATGTGCTTCCGTTGCAATAAAAAGCACTTAAAAAAATAAGCAATCAAAAGGGAAAAAGCCTGAAAGTTCCCTCTCACTAACTCAGTGAATACAAAACAGGGAGCGCTCTAAGAATACAAAATCAAAGCAATTCAGTTACGGAGTGCAAAGAATTTTTGCTGTACCCCGCAAACTGGAGCTCCCCGCTGCTGCAGCGCCAGAAGAGCCCAGTATCGGACCATGCTAAGCTCCTCCTTTGCAGTCTCAACTTATCTATTACTCCAAGCACCTGCAGTGCAACCGCAGTC